TTAAGATGATGTTTATGCGAAATAATATAGAATTAAATCACTTGAAATGATAGGATCATTCACTTTCCCAGGCAACTCAAGTTAACATTAAAGGGACACAAAGCCGTAAATTTATTTTATCAAAATTTAAATAGATGACACATTCAGGTAAGTAACTTTCCCTTAAAACAGGAGTCAGATTATTTATCCCTTTAAACTTTGTAAAGGACCAACGAAACATAATATTTCAGTTCAATTTATTTATACAAGTCAATGTCAACCTTTATATGTTATAAAAAGGTGTTAAACAAGGCTATCATTTATCGCTTATCGTCTTCACTTTCTCTGTTGTATATTTAAGGTTTTACAAAAGTCCCACTCCATGAGCCATATATTTATATATTTGATATTTCTTTAGACTGTATGATATCCGAAAGACAAATAAAATTTCTTTTTTTTCTTATTTCTGTGACCAACAACTCTTCTGACTGCAATTAAAAAACAAGTCAGTTGGTCTCATCATTTCCTTTTAGACCACATCCAGTCGTTTCATTATGCATTATAGAAACTCAAGTTCAACAAAAGGTGTTAATGTAAAATTCATATTATTTTATTAATTGACTTTATGAGGGATGTAAATAAAGTTCCCTTTCATTTAAGTCATTTACCCCAATAGAATTTTGTTATATTGTATAACATTTTACTAGATTTTTGCATCACCCTTTACTTTTGTTAATGTGATGTGAAGATATACGAAAATTACTCATCCGAAGATTATATCATATTTATGATGATTAGCAGTCTTACTTCACTAATCAGATAGAAAGTGTATAGCCATTATATTAGCATAAAAATTTTAAAACATTTAAAATACAATTTATAAGAAATTCAATGCGTTTTATCAACAATGAAAAAAGCTTGTGTAGAGCTGAATCGCTGTAGGCCTACCACTGTTTCACCTTTCCTCCATACGTAGGTATCTCATACACGAAGCTGGGTAAACGTGACGGTATTTTTGACGGGGGAAGGGTAAAGTAAAAAAAAAAGAGGGGTGACAAAGTGATCGCAATGTATGAGAGAACATTTCAAGGTTTTCAAAAGAATTCACCCAAACTACTTATAATGCATCTTGAACACTACACTTTTCTCATCTGTCAAAATTTTCATGAAAAATTTACGCAACCGTAATTAACCATAATGGTAGGATTAAAGTGAGATTAGGAAAGGATTAAAATGAAATTAAAATTGAAATTCGTATTAAATGAAAGTTGAATAAGATCATTTAGAATTGTGGATGTAATATGTATTATTATTCATATGAATTTTATAGACCTATAGAGTTTTATTGTTGAAAGATTTCTATAAAACCATATACTTGCCTAGTTTATGCTAAGGACGATGGATTAAATGTTTGGATGAATCTGCCACATCTTTTGTTGAGAATCATTAATCGAGAACTCACCAGTCTGGAAATTAAAATGGTGTCTAACACGACAAATCACACGATACCTTAGGGATTAATTCTGTTGTCTTCTTCATATTTATGTCATAAAGGACATTTTGAAAGCTTTTTAAAGAGATATTAACTTTAATTTTTCGCTAGCTTTCCTCTGGGGTTATTTTCGAGGGTTCCAAGATACTTTTAAAGTTCACTCCTCAAAAGAGTGGCTCAGGGGTGGTCGACATTACGTTTGGCTGAATTACAGGGCGACTAATATGTAATGGTTGATAAAAAAAAATTGGTGGCATCTGTAATCTGATCAGTTTCTGGATGTAGTCGACCTAAGCGCAACTGAAAAATCGCAGTCTCTGCCAGTGGCCATTGTCACTGTTTGGACCATATAGTTGATCGCAGTTGTTAGAAGTCGGACCTATGTGAGATGCTGCAACTTACCAGACGACTCGAACCATCGGTATGAATACGTTATATGAAATTCCAACATGTCTGCACTGTGGGGTGTATTTGGGGGTGAACATGGCTGCTGCAATACTTATTTCAAATGTAAATGTATTTCCTGAAAGCAATTATTATTGGAATTATTCATTAAGGTCGGGGGTAGATAGTTCACAATTTCCAATAATGATTTCCTTATCATAAAGTAGTAGTTAAAATTCTGGAGAGATCTCCACATTCAATTACTGGTGACAAACTGGAGTCATGTTTCACCACAATTACAACAAGTGATAGATTTGGACAGTTTGGGGATTAGTTGAACATACAAAATCATTGAAATTGTAGGTATAGTCAGTGGAAACTTGAATCGTAGTATTTACTTATTCATTGTCCGTATAAAATAGATTGTAAGATAGATAGATATCACATGATTCACAGTATACTATCACGTTTTTTGATAATATGAATTGATAATCAACTGTTTTAATAACTGTCAAATATCTTAAAGTGATTTAAGTGTAAACGTATTCTATCGTCATGTGCCTATGAAACAACTCAGTTCATGTGTTATAATTATTTTCTTTACGTACTCTGATACAAATGCCTTCTTCTTTTTCTGACAAATCAACTAACTCTTCTGATACAAATGCCTTCTTCTTCTGAAACATCACCTTACTCTTCTGATAAAAATGCCTTCTTCTTCTTCTTACTTACTCTTCTTTTACAACTATACTCCTTTCTTCTGAAATATCAACTTACTTACTCTTCCGCGACAACTACCTTATTCTGAAACATCAACTTACTCTTCTGATATAACCAATTTCTTCTGAAACATCAACTAACTTACTCTTCCGCGACAACTACCTTATTCTGAAACATCAACCTACTTTTCTGATATAACCAATTTCTTCTGAAACATCAACTAACTTAGTCTTCCGCGACAACTATCTTATTCTGAAACATCAACTTACTCTTCTGATATAACCAATTTCTTCTAAAACATCAACTTACTTACTCTTCCGCGACAACTACCTTCTTCATCTGAATTAACAACTTACTCTTATTCTGAAAAAAAAAATCATTCTCTTTAAAAACAAACTTTACTGTTCCTGTGATACAATTACCCTCTTCTTCTGAAACATCAACGTACTTTCTCATCTTATTCAACTTATATCTTCTTCTGAAACATCAACGCACTTTCTCTTTTGATGCAAATACCTTCTTCTTCGGGAACATCAACCTATTTACTCTTTTGATAAAACTACTCTTTTCCTGAAACATCCCTTTTTTGAAACATCAACTTCTGAAACAACAACTTAAATACTCTTCTGATACAACTACGTTCTTCCTCAATTCACTCAATGAGAAGATTTTGATTGATTTGGGTCTAAATATCCTTCTTCAATTTTAGATTAAAGAATCCAAAAATTTATATTAATACCGTTTAAAAACGCTTTGTTACACGTACTCTATATTTTTGTCCAATTCCACATAAGAATATGGCCTCTGTTGGGTTGGTCTATTGAAATCTAAACTGGCTTAATCTTCCGTAGCGTCAACTTACTTTTCATTAGCGTAATTGAGCTCCACCTTCTGAAAAAGTTAACTGACAACTTAATCCACATTGTCATTGATGTTCGCGGGTCTTGTTCTATAAAAACATAATTAGACTATGTGAAAAAATAAAGTGAAATGAACTTTACGTCTTACTGATTTTGAAGACGAACTAAGCGATTAGTGTTTACACCAATATTGGAAACCTTGCTATACATTGTATTGTCTTATTCTGTGTGATTTCCAATGGTCTTTGGGCTTAGAATACAGAGCTTGACAGCCTATAGAGTTCCGTGGAATAGAGTTGAATCGACTACCTAATAAAAACAGAACTTAATAACCCTACAAACTGAAACCAAGTCGATGATTAATAATGCGTTGTCAATTTGTAATATAATTTTTTTCCCGGAAAAAGCTGAGTATAATGTTCCCCCAAGTTTCAGATTGGTGACGTTCACTTCATTTCACCGGCGTCGTACCTTCTATTTTCTGTCGAGTTTTTAATTCGTCTTCAGTATCAAATATATAACAGCATTCATGAGTAATGATTAGTTGATATAACTATTGTAATTGATCTATTTGGCGTCATTGTGTTAAAACTTGCCTTGGTCTTTACCCGCCACTCACTCATTCATTGAGTTCACCTTAAAACTGAAATTAATTCTCATATAAATTGAGAAATTGTATCTGAATTCCACTTTAGTTCTTAATCCTTCAAACCATGGTGATATCAACCTAATATCTTTCAATAATGACCAGCTATATACTCACAGTTCCTTGTATATCCCAACAATTATTACTTTTACCATTTTGAATGATTTCACCTGAAAAATAAAACTACCTTTCACCTAAAAATGACAAGTCTCAATCTACTCTAATCCGTTCGCTGATTTTATCTGCCCTTGAAACATCCGGTCGTCTTGAAATTCATCCTTCTATAATTAAATTCTATTGTTCAAGGTTTTTTTTTACCCTGGATTTCACAAGTTTATTTCAAGCAAAAATATATCCCATGAAATAATAATAGCTTCCGTGAATCATTCATTTTTTTCTTATTCTGAAAAGTCTTACTGGATGAATGCTGTTTTGATGTTTTGGGGCCATTTCGGTTAGGAGCCAAGTTAACTAAAACCCTCTGAGAATACGGAAGTTTTGGTGTCATGGTGTAGCTCTGTGCGAACTTCATCGCAATTTCAGGTCAGACGACTTACCAAGGTTAGGTTCCGCAAGTTATATAGCCTACAGGACGTGTGTGGTAAGATTCCCAAAAGTACATTGGGGATAGAAATAGGTTCACATTGTTATCGCTCCTTTATCGCCGAAATCCGTAGCTTTAACATTTTACTCTTCATAAATTCAGTCCTTCGACTGGCTTCACTAGGGTGTACGGACGAGTAGTTAAAGGGAAATAATCCCCTTGATACAGTATACTTATGGCAAATCCAGACCAAAACAAATTCATCAAACAAGACTTGGCAACACTCATAATGTACTGAAATTTAAATATTCAAGAAATAGAAAATAGAAAAGAAATAGAGATTTTTGGTCATGTTTTATGGATATAACAACGCATGATATTATAATTTGATTTAATATTATATATTTTGTGAATGTGAACTTGGTAAATGATTTATAAAATGATTAAAATGACAATACATTAAAGAGTATCCATTGTATTATTAATTTACATAATTAGAATACATGCCCCATAGCCTTTTATAAAATGAGTGCATGATTTACATATCCTTTAATGTCAGTTGTAAATATACAATCTACAATGTACATTATAGGTCATACCAACATAATATAGTTTTGATTTCACAAAATGGAAATTCATATTATTCAAACAGTTTGCTGGCAAATACCAGTGTATTGCTCCTTTGTCGTCTATTTTGTTTCAACATAAATTTGGAACTGGTACAGTATAAATTGTCTCACTATCGGTACCACATAATAAAATAGAGTCTTGAATATCCAGTGAATTAACAGGTAATGATTTATTTGGTAATAATGAATTGATTTCTAGTTTATGTCTGGATGATTCCACACTGATCCAAGGACTTGATTCACTCATTGGGGCTATAGTGTACATCCTTTCAACCCAACAGAAGGCTACCAAACTGGGATGAGCATTGTACACAATGCCAAAATGAACGCTAATTAGGCTATTTGAATATCCCAGAAATTTTATTAGTGATTGACAAGGTTAACTGAAAGGTGTACTGATTGGTTGATATTAAATGAAATTCTTGAGAGTTAAAATGCAGTGAGTATAAACAAACTGTTAAATTCTTACCATGCGCTGATACTGATGACTTTGTTAATATGTTCATAGCTGAACCATCCCAATGCCATAAAGAACCATCTTCTGAACAGGTAAATAAATGATCTGGATTTGATGGATGGAATTTTACTTCCCACACTGAAATTTAATACCAATAAATATAGTGTGGAGGTTGAAAGGTTGAACTGAATTATAGAAATAACATGAAGATTTATTTAAAACTGCTGATAAACAAGCTACAGTATATTCAGGATTGAAAATCTAAATGTTACAAAATGCTTTAAGATAACCTTGAATTTGATAAAAACAACATGTGTGCATATTAAACTTGAAGATTTTATGTATACATTCATACATACATGTAAGTGGGGATCAAATAAGCCAAGATATCTAGTGACTAAATATATCAATGTATTACAGATACATCATTCATTTGGGAGTTCAAAAGAGTTTGAATTTTAGATGGTTTAATAATGTACAGAAAATATCAATACCACTACTTACTTGCAGCGCTATGAGCTTCTAATAGAGTCATAGGATATTTATCTTTTCTAATATCCCAGATAGTTAACATACCATCTTGTCCACCTGCAGCAACTATATGTGGTTGTCCTGGGTGTTTATCTACACAGTGTAATGGTGTATTGTCTTCATTTCTACAAATATAGTAGATTGATAAATAAGGCTTATACCCTTTTCAAACAAGAATACTTACTCCAACCTAAATAGCATAAACAAATTTGTTTCCAATTATTTAAATTTCATTTTAAATGCTAATAACTAAAAATCTTTCATGGAGCATCGCAAAGTTCAAACTAATCCAGGATTTTGACAATACATAGCATACCAAATCCCATCAATATCCTATCGAACTGTAATATTTTGGCTATTAAGTCAAGAGCAACAAACTAAATTAGCAGTAACTAAGATCATTTGATCTCTTAACAAATCAAATAATGTTGGCATAAAAAAAAAACACTGAGAACAAAATATCAAAATTTTCCAAAATTTGGACATCAAATTCAATGGTTATTAAATTAAATTCAACTATACATAAAATGTGCTTTATTTGGATAAATTCTTTGACATTTAAAAGTTTTTGCATTATATACATAAATATGTAGAAAGATTGTTGGGTTTACAAAGAAGGTAGAAAACTTACACTGAGAAAATATTAACTGGTTGATCACTATCTCGTCTAATATCAAATATTTTTAATTGACCAAAAGAATTAACAGTCAATATTTCTGATTGTGTTAAAAATGTTAAACTATTGATGGTACAACTGTCTGCATTATCTGAAATATAAATGAACATGTAATAGTGACAGTCATGCGTTGCTGTTGTATCTTTTATTTAAAGGGATATGATAATTGCTGTACAAGATGATAGAGCACTATATCAGATATACTTATCACTGTAATATGTATTCTCACTGCTTCCTATGGCTTTTACATCATCATATTGGTCAGATTTGCATTATGAATGTTGAAAACACCTTTGATGTGATATTTTTAACTTTTATGATTTTGTAGGAAAACAAGTATTTTGAAGCGCAGTCATGTGATGGTTGCAAATATATCCTTACAAAACATGCCTTAAAATTATTTGCATATATGGATATATATATATATATATCTCCTTTAGAAGAACTTCATTTTATCTGATGACAACATGTGTAAATTGTGTTGAAACACTATGTGCGTTGTTATTAAAGAAGTGAGTATACCATAGTATTCTTAATGTTTCTTGTTAATGTCTATAATACTTACCTTGTATTCTGACGGGTTTGGTCTGATTTATATTTAAAATAATAAGTCGTCCATCTTCTCCACTAGTAGCTACCATATCATCACCTCTATTACCAATACAAGTACACGATACACTTTCACCTTGCATTTCATGTAAACCTTTCCATATACTACAAAACTCTAGTCCCTGTAATAGATCATACACGATACACTACAAAACTCTAGTCCCTATAAGACAGAATAACCAGAACAGAATCTTAAAATATAATTTTGTTATACAAATAATGGTTAGACAGAGTGAGACTACTTACTGTGTGATTATTGTGTTTAAACATACAAACAGAACCTGTTGATGATGTCACCATTAACTGATCTTCAGCAACATACTATTAACAAAAATAACAAGTTTTTTAAGAAAAGAAAATAATTGGTAGGTCTATGATCAAGTCCAAACAATTTCCTTATTGATCTAATATCTGAGCAATTTACAGACTTCAAAGTCTTAACCAGAATCAGTCTTAGCAAAAAAATAAATTAAAAATGGAGGTCTAAAACAGTAAATGTCAATGGAAATGAGGCCAACATACATAAAAGTATGAAAAGTTTCAAGCTTACACATAAATCAGTAACATCTCCTTCAATGGCAGCTTCACAGATTTTTTGTGGCTCTAAATCTCTTTGAAGGTTTTCATCCTGAACTCCACTATTCACTTTCCATAAACAAATCTTATTCACCTAAAATAAGAAAAAATGTTATTTCATCATATTGAAGTATAATTTGGGAAGATAAATTCAATTTTCTTTTTATAAGGGTGCTGTGATCTAGGAATTGTGACAATTTTAAAATATTTCAATCATTACAAATCAAATAACTCCAATTTACTTTTCTGCCACTAATTAGTAGTTAGGCTAATGAACAACAGAAATGCCATGCAGTGTGCAAAAAGGGAAATTTTGCTTAGAAAGCTGCATTAGATCACTCTTTTTTTAATTCCAACTGTGGAAAGTTAAAGAAAGGGTCCAGTCAGTGCATGTAGGTACAAAGCCAATGGAAGGATTTTTAACTCATAATAATGCAGTTATCAAACGCAAACAATTCATAAATTCTCCTCAAAAGTTGAAGTCTGAGGCATCCAGAATTAGACTTATTAAAGTTCTGGAATCTGTAACAGCGAGATGTAACTTGTAAATGAGACTGTACTGAAGTCGAGGAGAGAGTTTAAGAAAGAAAGGGTTCCTAGTAAAATTATAAACCATTATAGAGTATGGCCTACGTACATCATCATCCCAACTTCCAGTAACAAAAGTATCTGCAACCTTCAATGACTGTTTTGGAACGGGTTGCCATTTGATTTTGCTTATTTTCTGAGAGACAAACTTCAAATTTAGCTCCTCCATGCTTCAAAAAATATTTTGTAAATGAAACGAATATTGTTTCCACTTCCGGTTTTAAAATAGGTGATAATTTCCAACATATACGGATGAAATGGATTAAGTGTGCCAATATTTTTACAGACAAAATAATATGAGCAACTTAAATATTTCATTGTTTTTGTAAATTTACACAAATAGCTTTTAAATCGGGTATTAGAAGCTAAAAATCAAATATCAAATGATAAAAAACAAAGCGACAACTAGCATACTATGTAACATTTATTATCTACTTCTTAACACCGAGCCAAGCTAGCCAACTGTATGATTAGCAAACAGTCTCAACCTAATCCGAAAAATCAAACTAATTTTTATATCAATTAGAAGCATTTTTTAAAAAAAAAATTACCATCGCATACATACATGAAACCTAAGCAATGCAATTTCTATAACATGACTTTCAAGGTATATTCTATCCAGCTAACCTAATGAATCTTTAATTAGTAAAACGGATCTACTATTATGACGCATCGGAAGAGAAAGGAATTCGGATTACATCTAAATTTTTTGGCTAGCTTGATGTTAGATAATACATTTCCGGATGTAAACAAATTGTATGTGTCATCTGTCAAAGTAAAGATTAGAAGAAATAAAAAAGACCTATAATGTTTTAAAACGCCTAGATGACTTGTGATTTTTTCATAAATTGATGTACCCGGTATTCCATAAATTTTTCAGACATTCACTTTCTTATGTCTACATGGATCTAAGTTTTTTCCATTGTCATTGATCCATGACTGTTCGTTAGGCTGTTAGCTTCTTACATAAAAAATCACTAAATGACAGGACAGGTGAAGTTACTCTCTTGACTCTTGATTGAATACCTCTATTTCAAGTTTCATAATCATCTGCTTGAGCATGTTGTAGGCAAACACTATGCTTAACCAGGCCTTGTAGATCATTATTTAAATATGATTCTATTTATCTTCCATTGAACATTTGAGGGAAGGGTTGTCTGGAAATATTTTTTTCATCTTATGTCAAGTTATGTCATAGCAAGAGGTCACATTTATCATTTAGAGATTCTATATAAATCTGCTGCAATCTGTGATTTGTAGAAGAAGTAGACATCAGATTTGCAAATTGAAAAGTGATAGGTGTAAGCTTACCTAATATCATGAAATATTGAGATGAATATTTTCATATCTTTTTACAGAATTGATAATGGCTGCTGGAGTATTTCATGTAGAATTTGGTATTAATGATACTCAGTTAACAAGAGCTTTAGAACAGGGTAACTATGCTAGTGCTGAAAGATATATTTTAGAAAATTCGCAATCCTCATATTTAGATGAAGGTAAGTAACTTCATATAAGATTCAGTTGGCACAATGTGAATTGAATGAGATGAATGATGTAAGAAACATACAGACTTGGGCTGTGATTTCAATTTAAAGACCTAAACTATTCTAAAAATATTTTTTTTTTCGCATAATATACTGATTCCATTAAGCCAATTTTTGTAATACAGAAAACATGGTTGATTATTAAAAATGCTATAGAATGATACACAATAGTTTCTCTGATTTAAATGGGTTTTTTTTTCTGTTTATAGGATGTTACCAAAGGACACCACTATTTATCTGTTTATGTGGCATAGCCGAAGATGGAGATAGAGTGAAATGTCGTAACTTTTATTTAGCTAAATTAATGTTAGAGAGAGGTGCTGATGTTAATTATAGAGTTCCTGTAGTAAGTATTATTAATGCTTTTGTTTATCAATATTTATTTTTGATAAAACATTCAGGAATTTGTATGCCCTCATTGATTTCTATGCATGTCCAGGAATATAATAAAATAACAGGCATTTATATATGGAATTCTAACTATATTGAAATTAGCAGATATTATTGCACTTCATGTGCAGGGCCAATAATTGATGTGCTTTAACACATAGCTTTACAAAGGGTGTTGGTTCTGTTTTTTTTGTAAGATTTCTTGACAGTGTTTTCTTGATTTGAATATTTTCAATAAAATATTACTCCTCAAGAAAATTTTTTGTTGTGGTAACACCACAGAGCAGAGTAAAAACTAAGTTTTTTTTGTATTTTGTAGACATTTTATGGTTGTGAGTATTTGGGGCCAGGTAAAACCTGTCTAGAATTGCTGATAGATTTTTATAATGAAATAACAAGATGTGACAATTGTCGTTCTGAGGATTGGTAAGCTTGAGATTAGTTAAACTTTCTCTTTGTCATTTAACTATTCATTTATTCAGTTTTTTCATAACTGGTCTCAGAGCAAATGAAATGAAGACACAATGGGCACAATAATAGAGCATTAGAAACAAAAATTATACCTCATGGATCAAATTGGCAATGTTATGGCCATTTTAAGATGGGGGTTGTGTCAGCAATCAGCTTATGGAGTCTAGATGCAGAGGTTAGGATAAGACTATTTTGACAGGCTGTAATTCGAATACCAGTATAATAATTTTACATTATTTCTATGTTTTAGGGTTGAAAGTTCACCAAGCTGGGATTCACAAGAACAAGTTATAGGACTTAATCGGCAGTTATTAGACAATACATATGATATTTTAGAGGATATAGAAAAATTAATCTTTATCTGTCTTGGTATGTAAATAATGAAGTTTATGATATATAGTCAGTCATAACCAAAACTGTTTTCATATTCAGAGTTTAAAAGGATCGTAAAGGAGTTTTCTAGTCTTTGAATGTGTATCAGATATACTTCCATTTACACCAATCCAATTTCCATCAGACTTCTCTGGTTCAGGAAATAGAAATTCATGCTAGATGCACAGTCATCAAACAGAATATCAAACTGGTGCAAATGGAAATGTTCCCTGATAATCATACAAACATCATACCAGACATCCTCTTTACAATCCCTTTTACTGGTTACAACACAGACCTTGTTTCTGGTTGAATGAATTCAATGAATTCAAGCTTCACATCCAACTTTCTACACCTGATTGAGCTAACGATAATAGAAAGTTACTATTGATTATGGCAATTTGACATTTTCTGAAACCAATTTCTTTGTGCAAGGTCGAAATTTTGTCTTATTTTTTTATACTGAATTCATTTTATTTACAGCAAATGGTTGTGATGTTAATGTACGAGATGGAAATAGAATGACACCATTACATCGTATAACTATTTCTAGTTATGAAAATAAATTACTACATTTATTATATGAGAATGGTGCTGATATTAATGGTACTGATATCCATGGTAATACACCATTATTATCATTATGTGATGTAGCTATGTATGATATTGATGATGATTTAACAGATAATTCACCATCCAGTAGTAATAGTAGTCTGGATCAATTATTACCAATTCAACAAGCAAAGTTAGATTTCTTTCTATCCAAATCAGACACACAGGTAAATATAAAGAGTTGAACATTTTAAGAATTGAATATGAATGTCTCTAAATTGACATTTCCCAATGTGTTTCCTCACTGTCAGTGATGCAGGTCAGAGGGGATGACAGCAAAATGCCTAGTCATTTGGATGGGATAATATATGAAGGCACCGTATGCTACACAGGTTTTGAACGAAAGAAATTTGACAGTATGGCCATGTTGCTGTCCTGGCAGATTTCCCTCCTAGCGCACAGCATACTGTTACGTGTCCTCATTAGCCCCAATAGGCTACTACATTTGATACCCTTCAAGAACTTTCAGTAAGTTTCTATTCCACTTTTCCAGTTGTTCATTTTGTCCTGGCTTCAGTTTCTCAAAAAGTGTGAATTTGTTATGGTTTTGCTCTTCAATATTCTGTAGGGGCAAAATGTAGTAAATTGTAATGCAATTTCCAATTTCAGATAAATGTGCAGAATAATTTAGACCAGACGCCGTTATTTCATTGTATAATGAGAGGAGATGTAACTAGTTGTTATAAGTTATTGTTAAGTGGAGCTGATCCTACACTAAGAGGTGTTGTATGGGAAACAAGGAGAAGAAAACGGTAGGGTGAATTAATTAAATAAACATTAATCTAAAGAAATGAAAATGAATGGAGTTTTAAGTCCTACTTTTCAACATTAATCTTAAGATGAATAATATGGTGACATTAATTGGGGCTTATGGAACAATTGCTTTGAGTCTTGCATGTCAAAATATGCTGGAACTATAACAGATGAACTACCAGATGCAGCAGATGTAAAGCCTTGGCTAAAAATGCATTGGCATCCCTTTGTTCTCTAATCTTGTGTTCAGACTCACCACTATTTGCTGGCTCGGCTGTTCACCATTAGTATTTGTTGTGTTACTGATGTGGATAGATCATAGTATATAAAAATAACATTAGCTCATTGATTCTGATGATGCATCAATAAATCATAGTTAAACAACTCCATAGAAAATATGATCAAATTAATGATGATCAATCTATGTTAATATTTTTTATTTGTTTTTCTACATTGCAGTAAAATATCTCCAATATTTGCATCATTTTTATCTATACCAATACAACAGACTTTAGGCTGGCAAAGCACACATTATAAACTTACAGCAGCCCCACAAAGATATTCTCATATTGTTGATGCAGGTAGGTAAAAGATATTCTATAGATTATATAATAGCTGAGCAAAGTTTTTTTGCACATCTACGTAAGTTTCAAGTTAGCATTAGGATTAACATAATTAAAAGGTCATTTACTATTTTTGGGGTTCTTGTCATGTTCAAATTGTGGAAACAAATTGCGTTTTTGGAATTTCAGGACATTTTACAAAGAAAGAAATTGCCCAAGAACTTGTAGAATATATAGAAAATGACTTTCCTGAATTCCTTGAATTAAGACCAATAGCTGGTGCTTTAATCCATTTACTATTTGGAAGAACTACATCAACTTTAAGTCAGCTGGCTACCAGATGTGTATTTCAGAACAGTTTGATCAAAAATACCCTGTGTTTACAGCGAATATTACCAGTGTCCACTTTTAAACAGAAGTTTTTAGTGGAAGATCTAGAACATTTTGATACTTATGAAGAATATGTGTGTCTCATATTGAATAGAACAGTGCTAAAAACTCTTATAAATCTTTTAAATTTGCCTCAAGATTCTTTGATCAATTTTGAGGTCGAGTTGTTGCTACATCAAATGGCTGTGAAATTTTCCAAGTATAAAATATTAAGACCAGACAATGTTATATCTGATTTAAGTGATGAGTCAGTACATTCCAGTGAATCTGATAGTTCTAATGACAGTCTTGATGAAGGTGATTCTGATTTAGAATACTGGTAACATAATAAACAATCTTTTTTTATTGTACAACTTTTATATAATGTATACATCTGATAAATGTTTTGTAGAACAATAGTTTTTATTTCAACAACTTAAAGGGACAGATGTGCCATTTCTTTTACCAATTATAACTTAGTCTCAGAAACTGGATTTTTTCAGCTAAGCCAATCAGTAATATAGTGTTCACAGCTCACTGTTGAAATTTGAGCCTTCAAATCCAGGTGAAGAAATTCCTAGTTCGAGATATTTTTGAAGGAATTTTATGATTTTTGTACATTTCTAATACTTTTGGAGATATTTTTGAAGGAATTTTGTGATTTTCGTACATTTCTAATACTCTTGAAGACTATTTACATATTTTCAACACTCAAATCAACCCTCAAAATAGCACAGCTGTCCCTTTAAACACAACTCACATTACAATCGATCAAACAATAATCGCTCGATTACGATATTAGATCACCAAGACATATCTAATATAGGAGACATCCAGGAAGAAATATTTAGTGATTAATTAGCCCGTTAGCTGCCAGCTCTAATATTGTGTTCATTACCTCTGTTCCCAGTTTAAAGTAGAAATTAACAATTGATTTATATTTGGTCCGCATCTTGGAAATAAACAATGGGGCATGTACTCTGTAGATCAATATATTGACTTCTCACGTAATTTGAATCCTATTTCCCACTTTCTTTTTGCTGATGAATACAGCTTAAATGTTTATGTATGTTTTCTCTAGCAACAAGATATTTCAAGCAACAGAGTAAACTCATATTGAAACATTTAGCTATATCTATTTTAATCTTGAATTTTTATAATTGAAAGAAAGTAAATCAATGTTAATCGACTGCAGTGTGAATTGTGTCTTAAAGGCATATTAAACCCTGGTTTATAAACATCAATATATGACTGAGACCTGCTGATACCTTATCATTTCCCTCCATTATAATCTGAATGTCATACATCAATCATAGTCCAACTTCACAATGTCAAGGTATTATGAACTCCTAATCATTAGCAGTACAATCTTTCTGTAGAGAGCTGATTGGCTGTATCAGCTTGCATACAATGCAATCAATTTGCTGCATGTACAAACATGCCTAATCCAAGAAAAATGTCTAAAGATTTCTAGGTATAAGATAGAGTTCGTTGAGTTGACATTGTGAGATTATCATAGACCAGAATTAGTATACTTTTAATTAAGATGGAATTTGTTCAATTATCACAGAAACACACAAGACATGTTTTAATTATTATAAACCATTGATTATTTCAAGATGGGTTCTCACATTTCCATAGTTTTCTTACAATTGGAAAGCCTTCATGAGAAGTTTTAATGACTGGATCCAAGGAAATATTCATATTTTAAAATGATAATGGTTTACACCAATTTAAGTCCAAATTCACACTTCATCATTTGACTAATTTACTGGTCGACCTTATTTACGTCGGCCATAATGAATCCAGATTGAGGCTCATAATGCAAACACACAAAGCCCCTTTCCTGCTGTTGATAAGATGTTTAGCTATTCCTTTATATGACGTCGCCATCTTTTCCATGGGTGATGTCATTTGCGTTACGAACCTCACTTTCAGTGTCTCAAAAACGAGGCATAAATAAGGTCTATTTAATTCATTAGAAAATAAAATCAAATTTTTTATAGGAATCTTTTAAAGAGACTTAACTTTTTAAAGAAATATGAGAACCAATCAGAAATAATGATATAATCAGAGTAATTCCCATGCAACTGAAATTACTTTTATTGATTTTTGTTGGTTTCAGAAATACGGATTACTTTATACCTTAGAACCTTGCATACAAGTTCAAGAGTACTAAAATTATTATATAGAACTTCCAGCATTTTGTTCTTATTCAAATAGTAACTCTTTCACTCAGATGTTTGTCAATATTTCTCCATGTCTTTGCAATTATTATTTAACATGTCTCGTTTTGACTAGTTCAAAATCTCTAATATTAAAAAAAAATGAAAAAAAAATAAATCAGAAATTAATGTGAGCAATTATCAATTTGCCATACTAAAGAAAAAGTGCACTTTTTCACCAAGCACTTCAAATATTCTTACAATAATTTTTGTAATAAAGCACTAGATAGAATGTAACCTCATAATCTTAGGCACGAAATATTTTGCTGCCAAGGCTTGTATCTTCGAAAGAGTTGTGCATCATACGTTCTAGCCCCAAAGCCAGATAAGATAATTTTTTTGCATATTTTTTTAAATGATTGTATATCAATTACATATTGCCCTGTCAGATTTTTAGTACCTGTCAGAGGTACATGGTCATATTCATTACAGCTCACATTAATTCTGATTACAAAATATGTTTTTCTTAAATTTTATTATGCTAGAATAATATAACAAAATATGACAACAATGAAAATCAACAAAAATGAAATCTGTATATGGTTATAACTTCATATAAATAGTTCAACAATTTGACCAATAGTCTTATCTAGATTATTAAAATAGGATATCATAGTCTTACCCTGCCAGAAGAAATAACAGACAGTTGCTATGATTTTTTCTACCCCACACAAACAATATTTCCAAAAAGTAACAAAACTGCTTCAAAAAAATTTTCATTTGCTACTGAGCAACTTGTTATATATTTCTTAAGATTATGTTATGATGCACTGGATTCATGAAAATCCAAACCGAAAAAGAGTGAATTACCTATTTTTTAAGTTACAGAGACATTCTGCAATCTATCATCATGTAACTTTGAAGGTGCATTGCAATTCCACTTTCAACCGCTTTAGCCCTAGTACCAGAATACTAATACCCATATCTTGTCATTGTATTATAACTTGAAGAACCATATCTAGGACTTGTACTACCTAAACTGGAGTTCATAAATCCTAGTCTATATGCTGTGCTGTTAGTATCATATCGCGGTGAAGTAGATTCTCCATAGCGTGGAGACGTTAAACTCGAAAGTAAACCACTATAGGAGGAGCTGTTGTATGATGGTAGATAATCGTTGCGTGAGGTGGTAGTTTTATAATCGTATCTAGGTGATGTAGAACTAGAATAATTACTATAACGTGGTGAGTAATTACTAGAATAGTTAGAATATCTTGATGACGAGGATTTACTTGTGGTTGTAGGATTGATCAAATGACGATACTGTTCAACATAAACGTCTGGAATTAATCCAACATTTGATTGAACCATCTTGACGCTACTGCCACCTAATATACTCCTCTCATAATCTACCATTTGGCGCCAAAATCCTAAATTAGGATGAATAACTGATCTCCGTTTCTTGACGTGATAATAAGCGTCTCTTAAAGTTATCCGATAATATTTCATAAGATAGACCATACAAATTGTTGCTGACCGACTGACCCCAGCAACACAATGGACTAATGTTTTACCACCTATTAATCGAACCTGATTAATTCGGTCAGCACAAGCATCGAAATAGACATTGAGTCGAGCAGAAGGTATATCATCAACATGTATCTGTACGGTATCAAGTCCTGGTAGCTCTAGGTTTGGTACATCTTGGGTACAGTTTATAACATTACTGATACCCAAACTTCTGATTTTATCACCACGTACAGCTGCTGCACTACTGAGGTACAGGTGATCATTGATTTCAGCTATTTGATTAAACATTGTTAGATCCATTTTGTATTACTGCTACCCTGAAAATAGAAAAGAAGACAACCTGTTAACTATCAATACTCAATCAATTACTCCCCCCAAACAAAACAATTACTCAATATCCTAATCAATTACTCAATATTCTAATCAATTACTCAATATTCTAATCAATTACTCCAGCAGTTGAAATGGCTCAAAATTTTACACGCACAATTTTTCAGCAGATTTAACACAAATACAAAATTTTGGCATTAATTATTTAATTCAATCAAAAATAGTTGGCCATTTGCTGAAAGGAGATTTCCACATCTAAAACTCGACTCATGGACACTCACTAACAATTCAGTGGTTTCATATTGAATGACTTTGACACATTGCATAATTATTACTTGCATCTTTAAATACTTCCAAATTCACAATATTTATTTATCTTAAAGATGTCATTTGTGGTTTAGAAGGATTTCCACATTTCATCTTTTTATAATAAATAAATAGATTTGTAATCAGGTGAATGAGGTATAGTTGTGTTGTGTTAAAGGGACAGATTCGACATCTCAGAAACAGAATTCTTTAGCTAAGCTAATCAGTAATATTGTTCACAAACCACTGTCAAAATTCATGCCTTCAAATCCATGTGTGTCTAGAATTATCAGTGTTTGAATATTAAAATGATGACTCCCAAAAATGGCATCTGTCCCTTTAATAACAGCTTGACAGTATGTCTAAACTTTAGTTGTGCTGCTGAACAGAAATTCAGTTTAAACAACTACTAATGCAAATATTGGGAACATTTTATACCTTAAAAGTAATGTAATAATCAACCATCATTATTTGAAATGGAATGTGACAGATCCGCTTAACATCAGATTTCTAGTCAAATTGGGTGCTAATATTAATTAAATACCAGTATATTTTGAAAATATTTTAAGACTCATATAAGCTTATATTAATTAAAGAAGAACCGTAATTAAAAAATGAATTGAACCAGACGTAAACTAGAGGTTAAGACAGATTACACAAGACTAATATCTTTTACAGTAAAAACTAGTTTTACTGGTATGTTACCAAAAGAGATAAAAAAAATATTTTTCTTAGTTCTCTAAAAGTATTTCACATCAATAAAGCTTCAAGACTGATGATATTAAAGTCTATTTAAAGGTATATCAAGGCCAGCTTTTCTATTAGATGGGACACGGTTCCTGATTTTTCAGAATTGAAAGGATGCTAAGTTTGGTCCTTGAGAGTAAGCAAAATATCCTTTTTGTACAATTAATAGGCACTGTCACACATCCATACAGTATTATTTCTTCAAACATGTTTGGAATTAAAAATGATGAATTAAATGGTAGTATTCACTTTTAAAGGGAAAGTTGTGCCATTTCTTTTACCAATCGTACCTTAGTTTCAGAGATTGAGATATTTATGAAGGAAATTTGCAATTTTCGTACATTTCTGGTACTTCTGAAGACCATTTACATATATTCAAGACTCAAATCAATGCTACGAAATGTGACACATCTGTCCCTTTTATGTTAATACCAAAGCAATAAAAGATTACTTTGGTTGAGAATAATGTAGGAATCACAAATTTATGATGATTTGTTAATAATAATTACTTGTAACTGTAAACGAAGATGCTAGAATTTGTATAATCAATATACATAAATGTAGCAACCAGTTGTAAAAAATATAATCCATCCATCCATTTTTAATTCTTCGTTCCGTTTCTTCTTTATAAATATCAGGAACTAATCCAGTAATATATGGTAACAATTCCACAGTACTCTCCCCTCTTATGTCTTCCTCAAAACTAATCAGACTTCTCCAAAATGAAATATTTGGTCGGATTATTGTCCGTCTTGTTTGTACAAAGTTATAAGCTTCTCTTAACGACATGGAGTGTATCTTAATAAGATAAGCTATGACAACTGTAGCTGAACGACTTACACCTCCAACACAGTGGACCACAATATTATCTCCCCTTGTTATAACAAAATGAATATAGTCAACTAATTCTGATAAATATGGTAGTATATTTTCTTTACTGTTATCTTGTAAAGACACATATCGCACTGTTATATCTTGATTGTTATATTTCAACGATGATAGTTCTACTGCTAAATTCAATACCACTTTAATGTTCAATTTTTTCAGATTATCCTCTTTAGTTACACCACCCAAACCACTCAGATACAACTGATCAGTTATTTGAGAAATCTTGTGTGATTCTGTGCTGGAGATGAAATTGTGTTTTGGAAACATACTGCTTCTTTTAAACTTGATCTCACATAAAAGTTTTTTCAAAAATGAGGAAAATTCTCAGTAAGAAATTATTGAAACTGAAATGAACATTGTAAACCTTATGACCAAATAATCGTTGAATTTCAGTCACTGAAGGTCAAGGTAACATACACAGCTTGGTATAAAGCGCATGCAAATAGAGGAGGTACATGCCAGGTGAAGTGTACGATGAAAAACAATACAGTAGAAAATGGACATAGCGAACATATATGGTACAGGTATGGACACAATTCGCTTCATGTATTTTCTTGTGTATTAATAACCCTGCAAAATAGGCAGTCTCTTATCTATTTGCACGTTTACTCATTAATACAAACTTTAACTTCTGTAACTTTAAATCTGCTTTAAATTTCTAAATTACACATTTTAATAAGTTTAAATTTAATTTCATTAATTCACTTACTTACAAATCAAATTTGGCTTGAACATGAAATTTTACTAGCCTAACTTACCTAATAGGAAGTTGATTGAATATGGGCATGTGATAAGATATGTTATGATGATATAGATTACATTAGAAATTCTTAGAATGTTATCACACCTGGAAATAAGTAGATAAGAATACCAAAGTTTATTTAGATAACTCTCCTTTTATCATTTTTCTCATTGTTTTATACATTTAATGATTAATAATACATACCCAATGCAACTTTTAATAACTAGTTTTCCTTCTATCAGAGGGCAATGTACTGAAAACTGGCAGAAATAATTCAGTTAATGTGAACCATTTGTAAAATGAAAGATTCGACACCTATGACAACAGGTTGGCAATAATCCAAATTCAACATTATAATAATATAATCCTTTGTCAGTGATATTGTATTGTATTGAATAGATATATCTTATAGGTTAAGTATATTGACTAGATAAAAACTTCTTATTTAATGAAAATCACCTAGCAATAATAGTTACAAAACATTGATATTGTCCCTTCCCTTTACTATCCTTTTATTTAAAAAAAACATTGCATGTTCAAACATATTCAGATATACATTTATTTCAAGGACGAAATCAAAAGCCCATTAATAGTTTATTTTGCATAAATACAAATTGTTCTTTTTATATACAATTCACAAGGTTTTTATTTGTTATAAAAGTACAATCGAATGACATGGGTCAACTGTAAATCTATCTGAAGAATTGAATCAATCAGCTTATCTTTAGAAAGACCATAGGATGCATGTAGCTATCGAAGAAATCTGACAGCGATTAAATACATATGATAAACTTATCTGAGCTCACTAAAAAAAAAGTTGTTTTTCTGATAAAAAGCTCTAGATAAATATTTAGGACTTAAAAAGGATAACACAATATCAATAGTCCAAATGCCACATTAGTTAAAAAAAAAAAAAAATTTAGTTTGGAAATTGACAAGGTTATTCTTACAATCAAAAGCTTAATTTTCTAATTGTCTATTGAGTATTGAAGCACAAAGTTTCAACCTTCAATGTCCTATAATCTCATTTAGCTTTTAACATTTATAGTATAGCATTTAATTCCTGCTAATTCAAATACCTTGTAGCTATAGGTCTAAAAAGAGAAAATTCTTAAATCTAATAGTTTCCAATGGTACTATATATAATAAAACTTACTTTAATCAAAGGATCCTAAGCTGAATAGTTTATTAGTGAAATAAATTCCAACCACAAGAACTAATACCATACAAACTGCTCACTCAACACTGTTGATATGGCTAAGTTTAGTAACAGTATATAGGTAAACTATATATACATCCAGGCCAGGTAACTGTACATGTAGGAGTGATATTCAATCTAGCAGTCAGATACTGGTATTACCCAGTGCCAGAAATTATTGGCACTCAATTAGAGCAAGGTTAGATAAATATCTTTAAGCCTACACACCCAAATTCATGTTAAAATCATTTTCCTCTCTAAACCTTATGATTCATAATTTTCTGCATTGATAAGCCAGCCAAGAAATGTGTCTTAAAAATAGCGTAGATTGTTTGTTTGCTGTTTTCACTCAATTTTGGTTATTATGATCAATTTAAGCATAGTATGAAGGTGATTGAATGAAACATATCAGTGAGTCAGAAAAAGCCATAACAACTTGTTTTTGGGAACATTTCACATCACTAAGTTTAGCGGTGATATATTTACCAGTCTGGTACAGTCTGGATTAATTCTAGTGGAGGAATTTAAGATCTAGCCCTGATACACAAGGAATGTGGTAACTATACTTAAAGTGACCAGTCAGTGTGGAAATCTTAGAAGAGCTCCAGATTTACCTCAAACCTAATGCTGGTTTTGTACTACAAAAGTAATTGGGTCCTTTCTAAATGAATAACTTTCAGTTGCTTTTGTACAGACTCAAATTCTAAAGTACAGTCAAGTAACCTAATTTCATGCATAAGGACATAAAAATAACAATTCTGTTTTTTTAACTTTAATTATTTGTGGATTTCCGGAAAGGATTAATAATTTACATGAGCGACCTTGCTCGACCTCTGCATTAGTTTGTTTTGATAAACATGGGTTTTCTCTACAATGTCAGCTAGTAGAATGAATCCAGTAGTTTCAAGCAAGGTAAAATGTATTACCGGTAATGTATACTTTGACAAATACAAAATGGCGGATTTCACTTATTACCACACGTCACCATTCTTTATCGGCCGAATTTCCTTATAATCCCAAGCGGTAATCGGAATTCCAAGTGTCGTCTGCTAGAATGTAGTCCAATGAATAAAGTCACGTGATCAACTAGCGGATTCCGTGTCAGCAGAAAATTTCTATGGAACACAAAGTGGACCATATTCTTATGTTGTTTCAGTGACTTTTAGCAATAAATCACGCTACGTATCTTATTTTGTCAGTCATAATTTTTTTTTTAAATCATGGTTCTTTGAAGGAATTGTCATTAGTTATAATGAATTGATATTAAAGATAAATACTAAGAGAAGTTAATTATACCACCCTGTATCCATACAACACGTTTTTCTAGACTTATTTATAGATCAAACATTGTACACGAAAATAGGTGAGGCATTCTGCCGCCGTTGCCGAGTTGGTTGCTCATGAAATATGGGTCAAAGTGAAGGATTCATTAAGAAAATCGAAATAAACCAATTTCTGTTATTTTGTAGAATATCTGAGGAAACATCTAAGACATAAAATTTTTTTTTCGTTTTTTTAACTTTGACGAAATTCGGTGTTGAATCCTTATATCCACGAAAATAGGTTACACCACTGTATTATTCTGTAATGTGTACAAACATTGCACATCAGAAAGTGCACAGTACAGTTCTGGAAACTGTGTTGGCTCAGTGAATTTGCTTCATAACCCAAGCAGAAGGTCTAGTGGAGGTCATCCCAGATAGGCCAAGGAAATACCTTGGATTTTTCAACCTGATTCTCCCTGTCAGTGTCAGTGATGCATCAGAGGAGCCGACATGGAGAAAGTGTCTCTAGTGGTGCAGATGGATCAATAAACTGATCCTGAACCTAATTTGCTACTGCTCTGTCAAAATCTCCCTCAATGCACATTGCATCTCGTTTCCCGTTTTCATTAGCCCAATTAGGTGCAGAAGAATATGACGTAAGCTTATATTACAGCGCCATTTATTCTATTTCACAGAAGGTCTACCAGTACTGGCCAAGTCCATTTGAAGGTTTAGTCAAACCGCTTTTTAAATTTGGATCTACCCTTCTGCAAAAATACCACGATATTTTGAGTGAAAAACCACTAAGGCTAACAAAAGAATTCTCCATTTGAACCTAAATTAGCCATAAACAAAGAAACCTATCCCAAACCTACGTTAATGGGTATCTTACCATAATGAAATTATCAGAAATTAGAAAATCTATGGACGCTCCATGGACGCTCTTCCCTTTCCCTTTCCACGCATGCTCAGTATTTCACAAATCAATTGAATCGATGACATTATCTGGGTGTCTCTTAAACACAAATCGTCAAACTACAACATTGGCACAATCTAAAGATTTAAACAAACCTTCTTTTTTTGCCCTATACATAAATGCATATGATGCATTCTCTGCCTTCCTATAATAGGTCATTTTACTCATCTTATCGATCTCTAAAAGGGATAATAACAAATGCATATGTGTCGAATGAACATGGAGATTATGTAGAATGGCGTATTTAAGGTGTTAGGCCATGACAACCCCTCCCTCCCAATAAAACTTGTGAGAGGTTTTATGTGAAGTAAAATTGAAGCCATCTAAATGCTCAAAACGTCCTTTATACCATCTGAAATCCGCTGGCTTCTACGGGACTCTGACAGGGAAAAAATGAAAAAAGTCCAAAAAGGATCAAAGGTGTCAATAGCGAGAATCGGACGGACCTGACTATCACATTTTGTTTATTGTCACACGTTGACTAAAGTATTGAATATTGAGTATTGAGCGATACTTGAACTACAGAAACTCTCTATTTTAATGAAAAGTTTATTGAGCAGGCATATATCTACTTGTCAACCTCGATCATTTCACTTTCTCCACGCCAAATATGCTTCTCGGCATAACCGCCAATGGGGATATTGGCAAGAATAACCAAACGACAGGGCTCGAGGATCCATCACAAAAGTCATGAAGTCTTACCGCTGATTTTTTGTTATGATCCTCTGATTTCAAAACAGTCATGGTTCCGATAATTTGACGGTAAAACTCTACCCCCAGGTTTGTACCAGCAACATTCTTGTCCACACGCGATCTAGCCTACCATGCATCCTTGATTTTAGGCGGGGTTATAACTAACTTCTGGTTTTCTTCAACATCTAATAGAGCATTGTCTCTCTCAGTGATTTTATTATTCAAGCGATTTAATGCTCTCCAAAATCCCGGATTAATTGCAATGGATGGTCTTCGTGATTTGACTAATTTATATGCCTTATCTAAAGACATTCCATACTGATTCATCAAGTACTGCACTACGGCTGTGGCAGCCCTGGACTTGCCGTGATAACTGAATATCAGAACAGACTTTTTACACCTCCTAGCTCCTTCAATAAAATTATTGATTTCACTGAAATATTGCTCTATATTTTCCCACTCTATGTCATCTACAGCAATGTAGAGCTTTGAACGGAAATGGGTCTTTTCCATGCAGAAACATGGACAGTCTAAAGTTCTTCCAGGAATTGAGAAGTTCGCAGGAACATTAGCTATATCAATCAATGTATTAATGTTATTTTTACACAACACCGATTCGTTGTAAGCACCTTCGATACTGCTCAGGTACAAATAGTCTAAGATATTTGTAAGATGATATTTTGAGTGGGATCGTGTTGAAGGCACTGACAAAAGTGTTAACTTATTAGAAGTATCCAATATTCCTGGCGATAAGGGTATGTCTATTGAATGATGGCGGCTCTTCATTTTTTGTGGTCCGTTATATTTTGACATATTTTCATTCAAACTTTTAAATTTCGGTTGAAACTGTCCTGATTTAACATTTTGGAAAGTAGGACTTAAAGATGGCCTTATTGATGGCACAGATACTTTCTCCGTATCTAAATGGTATTCACTATGTTCGTCATTATTGACACTTCCTTCGTCATCATTTTTAACATCATGATTAATGATGGACGAGAATGATCCACAATGTTTTATTGTAGACGCATTGGAGTTCCTTCGAACTTTCGAATCGATCATAACCCGTGTTTCATCCTGGTCCTCTCGTGACTGGTTATCATCTTCCTGTAAAATAGATTGACTGTTCCGTCTGGTAGTAGAAGAAAGTAATTTTCTATGAAATAAACAATTGATTTTGTCACGACTTCTATTCAGTATTACACTTAAAACTTCTCCAGCACTATTCTGTCTCTTTAATTCCTTAAAGAACGATTTGTGATACATATTTTTGTTCACCATATTGTCTGTTATGTCGGAATCTGCTCTGAAAAGTCTCCTTGCTTTACGTTCTCTCGGAATGTTAACAATACTGCCATGTACTTGGCTAATGTCTACCGAACTGGACGAAGCATCGTTCATTGTTTGACTCCTTTTATCAGTATCAAATTTCGGCATTTTAAATCTAAAACTGAAAAGAGAAATAAAATGTTCTATTAAGATTTTTAAAAGCAACATTTACAGAAGATGACTGACAATCAAAATCAGGTGGCTCTACCTTTCTTTCATACCAAGAGATTGTTACCAAACGCATCATAACTATAATAGCAGCAACAACGTATATACAGCTCTTTGATAGGCCAATACGGTGGTGCATTTATAGTCAATACTTCGACCAATAAGATGTTTTAAAATCATGCAGTTGAGATGCTTGGCCAATTTGTCAATGGATAGCTGAACAAAAAAAAATTGTTATGGCAACGCACTTGCACACACAGTTTCGAGACAATTCATACATGTAGTTCTCTTTAATATAAATGATTTACGCTTGTGACATTAAACGATATTCAACTCTGATGCTGAATAGATCTAAAGATGACAAGTTTAAAATGGTAGAATCGATTGGCATAAACTAGTCATGCATAAAGAATGTTAATAACGCATTAAAGGTGTATGACATACCGCGGACTTAGTTTTAAGATACATCGACAAGGAAATATCCCTTTCTCAGAATTAAATTTGAAGCATATTCTGATAATGTGTATTGATCGCAACCCCAAGGAACTAATGAAGCAATTTAATGTGTAAAGTCATGTGTTAACATTCTAGATCAAATATACATATATATCAATGCATTGCATGTGATATCAAGAAATACCTCGTAGATTATAACACCAAGTAATAATATCTCATATCAATGCCTGCAGAGGAACACAACAATGCCATTGTATTTCAAGGTTGCTGAGATTCAAAACAACAATAATCGATAACAAATCCCCATTATAGAAACACTGGTAGGTATATAGCATTACAAGAGTCGGTTTTATGACTGAAGTTAGTCCATACCTGTAAATAAGGAATTATACATCCAGTAAATACATTGTTTCCACTAGTTTCAACATTGTGCCCCTAAACCACCTTTCTCAAATACAATAAAATACATTATCAATCCGTATTACCTGACTCACGTGATATATTCCCTGTTTATTGATGCAATCGGTTTCCATGGCAATGGATGAAAAGACGCAATCAGAATAATTTTACGTATTTACCAATATTCTCGTCCATTGTTTATAAGTTCATGTATTTGGTATTGATTTTCTGCAGCCTGGACACAAATACATTCTCATTAGATGAATTAGCTTGATTACAACTCCAAATCTGGAATATTTACTTGTACATACAACAATTTTCACATAAATCAAACTGATATCCCCTCATTACAGGCAAGTCATCTTGTTTCAAGAAGACATCTACGTATATTTATATGACTTATAGATGAGTATGGAATTCCAAATTGAAGATCTATAAATATTTCTAGGTATCTTAAAGGGATTCGTTATGTCGTTGTGTGAATAATTTAGTATCCTTTTAGTAACCACCCTATAGTTCTTTTAGGTGACATGGGACAAAGTAATAAAGGTATCTAAGTCTAATTTATGGAATTTTTCCTCCTTAGGATACTGACTTACAAAAAGATTAATTGGTACTGTATGAAAGTTGCAATGACACAATGACGTACTGCACTTGTGTCAACTTCGGGACAAAAATGCTGCTATTTATGTTATGGAATCTAACGAACATTGGCGAAGGTATAGAGTGGAATATAACGAATCGCTGGATGAAATGAGCAAAGGATTAAGAGAAAAAAAAAGCAAAAGTAATACCTTTAAATTCATGTCTAAAATCTGACTTCTTAGGCCTTCTCAAAATTGCAACAATTCGTTTCACATCCCCATGACAGTCCCTCTTGTTGCAGGCATGACAACAACAATAACTCGGTGTAATAAACTAATCGAACTAACAATCGTTCACACCTACGCATTAGCACATGTTTTATGTGCACATCAATTTAAGCCCCAAAATCGATCTTCATATAACATAAAGTGCATTCAAATTATTGACAATTTCATTGTCTTCGCCTGTGCACAAATTGTCTGATATAGATTGATATGACATTTAAATTATATCAAATTAGATAACAGATTTTACTTTTATATATATAAAGCCTACATCGGAAGCATTACATTTTAGTCTATGCAACGCAACAAGGAAAACTTCGATATTCTGCAAAAGAACTTTTATCAATTAATAGAAAAGGACTGAAATAGAACAAATAGAACATCTCTTTGGGATAATAAAGGCTAAAATTAAGATCAGATGTTGAAATATAGACTTATCATTACCATTTATGACAAACTGAGTAGCCATAACGATGGAAAAGTTTTTATTAAAAAATTTATTAGAGCGGAAAATGTATTAAATTATAAAATCACCATCCTCGGCATAGATTTACTGTCTTCATAATCTCTCTGGAATAGAATTTTTAGATTCAGAATAGTATTGATAGTCTAAGAATAATAATAAAAATGCAAACATTAGCATAAAGACACAAATCATTTAGAAATTTCATGCATACAGGTCAAACTAAAATATCATTCATCCGTCAGGGCTTACATCGAAAATTCGTGACTATCGAATCAGATATGCAAAAATTCAAAAAATGCAATTCAAGTTTCCTCAATAACCCGATAAAAATTAGTTGCTATCGTTTCCGAATTTGGAATAAATCAATTTATTTACGAATATCAGTCTCACTCATATACATAATAAGCACACCAGGTTTCACCAAAAAACGATTTGACCAGTCACAAGCCATATGGCAAGAAGTGTTCTTGGGTGAGACCTGATCTGTAGGCAATCGCTTTAAATATTGTAAACCTGGGTTTTAAGTAGATATTCAAGATGAACGAAGAAGACTTAGTTTCATAGTATAATCTATCTGGACAATGTGAAGATATTACGAACTTCGTCTTATACCTTGACTTTGTTGTATCATAGAAGTTTGTAAATTGTAAATTTGTTTGGATTGTACGTTGGTGAATACAGCCAATCAGTGTCATCCACAAAATGTCTGTAAAAATAAACCATAATTCTTACATTCTGTCTGTCAACGATTATTGTTGCTTGTTGGCGTACAATCCAAATGGCCGCATTATGTGAAAAAAGAAAGGTGGCTATTGCAATCATGGTGTAAGATGACGAAGTTTGTAACAGCT